TAAGTGCTTGAGCAATTGTTTATGTGTGTTACAGGTGCTGACTTTTAGTCCAATATGCTGGCATGTATGTTGGAAGCAATTTGTACTCCTGCAGTAGAGAAAACATTATATAAAGAAACTCTGCCAAACTAGGCAAACTTATGGATGTACAGACCCAGAGTAAGGCATCTGCGCACTATCGTTAAGTGCACAGATTCACACTGAGCTCAGTGAGGATTTATATACATGAGCACTTACATGAGGATATATTTGAAAGGCAATTTTGATGCATGTGTCAACAAAAGATGCAAATGACTACAGATGTACAGAATTGAAATCCATCTTGGAAAGTTTTAGGGAATCCAAGCGACATCTCAAAAGCTGAAAAATCTTGTAGTAAGAGTTCATCTCTCCTGTTGTTTCCATCTTTTCCTGTACTGTGTAATTCAGGGATCAGCTTGTATGGGATCTACCAATATAGTCAAGGAATAGAAAAATGTCAAAATGAATTCTTTCATTTTGGTGATGAAGTGCTAGCTTTGCTTGCCAGCATGCAGGGTTCAATAAAAGCAGACAGGTCTTCAAAAAATAGCAGCATAAATAGATGAACTCTTTAAAGTAATATAAGTTCTGTCATCTAGATGTGAAATATAGACCTAAGTGTCCGTCGAAGTAAAGGCTGACCGCACATTCCACAGATAAGTGTTAAAGTTTTCTCAGTGTCTTGGGCAGAGAAATGTTTTAACTACCTATCTCCTTGCCACAATAGACAGAATGAAAACATTTGAAGTTGAACATATTTTTCAAAGGAAGAAAACAAAGCATCCATAAAGAAACAAAGGCATATCACAGGATGAGGTGTCTAGGTAGCTACTGTTTTCAAGAAAGTTGCAATTAGCTGTGCAATGGAGAAGGTGAAGTGAGTTGTATTTCAATAGCATCTGTAACGATTTCAGTGGCTAGAAAGCTGATAGGTATGTGCAGGGGGTTGGTTTCAAGATTTCCTTGTGAGACAGAAGGTCAGGATTCCTGTGGTCTCCTGTCATATTTAATTCATATTCTCTGGCCTTCTTCAACACATTTATTGAATTACAGGAATAAAATTCAATGAACCAAAAACAAAGAAGAGAGGACAGGGCAAATCCTGATTTCTTTTACATCCCTATAGCAAAAAAAAGACTTCAGTGGGCTTGTAAGAGAGCATCTGAAAGCAGAATTTGGAAGGAGGGGGAGGTGCAAGTTAGTATAACCCTTCTCATCACCCCCGTAATTGAATCCAAATAATTTTTTGCAAGGAGTGAATATTTGTGTGTGGGAGTAAGGATCCAATTTCTACCAGTTGAGAATCTCCCTGTCTACTTTTTAAGGGTAATCTTTGCGTAGTCCCTGTCTGCTTTTATTGGATACCTTCTTGCCACAAATGAAATGGCAGCAGACTGGCTTTTCAAAGCCATTCTTCAGAAAAACATCACTGGCAATTCATCATATGAGTACTATGGGGCAATTCTCAAATATTTAAAAACTACCAGCTTCGGGGAAGTGCCCTCCTGGCCCTATTGGCATGCTTATAATGATGGTTCCCTGCAATCATTTTAATTAATGGATGCAACCCTCTTAACCCCCTTCAAAAGTGAGATGCGGTAAGCACAGGGGTTACAAGAGGCCTGCAGTGGGGACTCTAGACCTGCTCCTATTGAGGAGCTCTAGACCTGCTCTGTGATTTTGGGGAGTAAGACCTTGTTGTGTCCCCTCTGCTCCTGTTATTCTGCTTTTATCGTCCTGTAGGCTGTCTCCAAGAACTGAGCTGTTGTGGGTATAATAGTGGGTCACTCCGATTTCTCAGCCACCTCTTCAGACAAATCTACACACAGCATCTGCAGTTAAAATAGTACAATGCCCTCATCCCGCGGTTAAAATAATGCAATATCCCAGTGTGAACACAAGTTGTATCAAAACCTCATACATACAACCTGTACTGATACCCAATAACATCTTTACACCAGTGTAATTTGTTTTTAGAGCCAGGTATGTGTAAATCTGGTTGTTGAGTCTGACCCAATATATTCATCTAAAATAAAGATGATATAAAAGGCTTTGAAATTCTATCCAAAACTGCAAGCTCACCAATATTTAGCATTGGCATTTGAATTTTTGGAAATGTCAAAGCTAATAAATAATGTATTATTTTCTGAGCTACAATGTACCTTTTTATTTTAACACTTGAATCTGCTTAGCTTCCAAAAAATTAAGAGCTCTGCACACGTACATTTCAACCTATGGGATAGCTGCCTTTCCACTTAATACGTTTAATAAAGGTGACCAGATGCTTTGTGTTTTTAATGGCTTGTTCTGCATCCCAACAAAATGTCCCTGTTTTGGCTGTGATAGCAGATGATTCATTCTGAAACCCAGCCCAGCTGCCCTGACACAGCCGAGGCAGGGCACAGTTAAAAGACAAGCCATCTGTGCAAGACGAGTGGTCTGGAGGAGTGCTTTGTCAGGAAGAGACTGTGATTTCTTGGTCACTATGTTTTGTAGCTGGCCAGTACCCTTAAGCATCCTATGGGTCCAACCTCTGCCTTTGTAATTGTGTCCCACATGCCATTATGCCCTCTTACATTCCCCTCACCTAGAAACCCTTTACCCTGCTCTGCTATATAAGTTCCTATGTTTCCATGAAGTGTAAAATGTTGATCCCACTTTCATTCTTTCCAACCACATGTCAAAATTTCTGACCTCAGAGCTGCATCAGCCAAACTTCATGCTAGAAAAAGCAAGAGGGATTCATTTATGGCTTTTCTGAATAATTACCTCTGCCCAGTTCTATATTAGCATCTCTCTATTGTCCGTGCTGCCAAAAGAGACATCCTGCATTCAGGAATAGACACTGCATTGCTTGTGGGCTGCCTGAATTCAAGGGCAAAACTCTACCGCAGGCAGCGCTCCCCATCGCCTCACCAAGAGGCAGGCATGCACACCTGAAGGCAAAGCCTGGTCTTGAGTGTGCCATTGAGAAAAGCCACTGCAAGCCTTGAGAGGGTCCTGGCCCCATGGCATCTCTCCCACAACCTGCAGCCTGTGTCGGGGAGCAGTGCTGACACCTTTTCCCTGCCCAGGCGATGAAGCGTACAGCTAGAGCGGCTCTGCAGGACACCACTGTTCTGGGGTGGGAAGGAAAGGTTTCTGTCAAGTTTTCTTTACAGCCTGTGTTCTCCAGCATTTGAAAGAACTATTGCAACTCAAGTCATCTGGCATGCATACAAATGACAAATACGCTTCAGAGGCAATAAATTAGCAATTTAAAGGCTTTACTTCCCCTCATGGACTAATTGCCAGAGATTATAGTATATTATGAGAGAGCAATGATACTAATGCCTAAATATGCTTCACTGATTATAGAGCTATCCTCAATAACCAAGCTGTTTAAATGTCAGTGCAAGAAAGCTCTTTATTATGAGATTAAATATTATTTTGAAGCAATGCAATAGGATCTTCCCAGGCTTCACAGCTGCAATAACACTGTCTTGGAGCTATATATATTGGACAAATGATGAGGTTTTTTACATGTGTACTGTAAAGGGTCCCAAAATATTCTTGTGCTGCAAACTTGAACAGCATTCTTTATAAGAAAGAGGGTCTTGGTACCTTTTTTTTTTGCATTTGTTACTTATATGCTGCTGTCTTCATCTTTTTCTCTACTTTATATTAATACTTGTGTATCACTGGTGTACAGACAAGATAAATTCTTCATTTCTATTAGTGTAAATGAGTAAGGAATCAAACCTCAAAGTTCTTTTCTTTTTTATTAAAACATCTCTAAGTACTGCTGTCCTGCATGCTTTTGCCACTCCTACAACTTATGTTTAAATAAATCTGTGTATAGCCAGCACTGAGAGAACTCCTGGAAATTACATGGAAGCTCCAGTTTTCAGGTTCAGCTTTTGACATGAAACAGAGAACGAAAGTGACTCGAAACCATAACCCCACTTCTGCTGTTCTGGAGATGGAAGGTGGTGATCACCAGCTGAGGGGTAGATTTAGAAGGGAGGGAGGCTAAACAGGACTTAGCACCCCACTAATTTCATATAGGGCTCTGCACATGTGATCTTGTCACACAGTTGCACATCCTTCCCATATAGATGACAGCAGCACGTACCCAAAATACAGCAACCTTTTTCCAAGAAAACCCAAAGCAATGCAGTAGGCACTGATGGTATCTAGATCAGATATGTCATACTCCTTCTGTTGGTTCTAAAGCTACCCAGTGTGATGTTCGCTGTGTGTCATAACAGCAAAGCAGAAGAGCTACAACATAGGCGAAGATCAGACCTCTGGTATTTTAAGATATGTATTCATTTCATTTTGAAGCTAACTTAAAACAAGAGGGTAAAACACATTTAGGAGGCTGCTCATTGTAGTTGACTGCTATCAGTGGAAACTCTTGTTTGTTCTATCAGCTCATGATCTGCCTTCTTTCTGTTTCGCTGTGGCTGATTTCTTCAGCCATTTTATATTTCGTCTATAAAATATAAAGCTTGTTTACCTCAGAATGTCTGAGGATCTTTCTGATGCTCAGGTAAAAGACACCTGCCAATATACTCAGAAAAGACATAAATTGCTCTATCATTTGTAACATTAAAAAAAAATCTTCATCTATTAAAAACACAGTGTGACTGACAACGAACATGCTGAAAGGCCAAGAGAATTCTTTTTCTGCTCTTCCAGGCAGACAATAATCTGACATCTTTTTTGTTATGTCTTGACTTAGAATGTAAGACAGGGAACCAAGTCTTTATACTTACAACAGTCATAAACTTACAATACTGATGTTAAGTAAGTAAGCAGAAGTAATAGGTTGACACTGTTCAAAGGAGAATTCTGTGGACTTACAGTAAAATGGGGAAAAATGACCTGCATCTGGCCGCTTTTATGCAAATGTTATTTGAAATGAGATTAAAATCCTCTTGACTTTTTTAGCAGGCACCTTATGAAATGCTCCATTGTTCCCAACTCTCACTTACCATGTATCCTGGTGCACACGTACACTTTCCTGTGATGCTGTCACAATCTGCACCGTTCTGGCAGGAGCAGGTCAGCTGGCAGCCTTCGCCGTAGTATCCAGGGGGACAGGTTTCATTGCAGTAGAGTCCAGCCCAGCCGGCTTTGCAGCTACATTCTCCAGACAATGGATGGCAGCTAGTGAAGACAGACAGATGTTAATGAGATGTGGACGCAAAAGAAAAATACTGTCCATTAACTGCAGAAATATCTCAGTTAAACATTTCAAATGCAATGCCAGCAAAAGTCACACTAAGAACAAAACAAAGCTGAGAACAGTCTGGGATGGCGAACATAAGCAACCATATAAGTCAGGACATGTATAGGGAATATGGTACCTAATACCATACTGGGGTGTCACTTGCAAACATCTGGGAACTCTCACTGAACTGGGAATTTTGCACCCATTTTATTTAAAAATATAATTTCTTTTCTGTTCTCAGATCAGAAAATATCTTTTCTGTTCTCAGATGAATGTGACCCAGGTTGTTGACATAAACCACCCAAGGATTAAGCCTTGTATGTGCCATACCATTTAGGTGTTACACAGCCAGTTAAAGATGTTCAAGGCTAGGAGGGATTCCCTCGGGTCCTGTCGCTGTCCCCAGAGAGCAGAGCTCAGCGCCTGCCCCTCCGCTCCCCTCGTGAGGGAGCTGCAGGCTGCCATGAGGCCTCCCCTCAGCCTCCTCTTCTCTTTGCTTCATAGAATCTATTCATTTTCCTTTATGGTTATTTATTGCTACGGTTTAATATTGAGGACATGACTGAATAGATTTCTTTACACCTATAAAATTAATATCCTATATGTTAATTTTCAAGGTAGCCTCATAAAATGAAATTTCCAAGTATGTTTCTGGCAATTACTGGTAGGAGAGGTTAGTCACATACTGTTGTGACTAAGAATGATCAAATTTTGTGAGTGTCATGTGTTTCATCATAAATAGCGTTTGACTGAGTAATTAAAACAATTCATCAGCTTAACAAACTACTATCCATGAAATTCTTCTGACAAAGCAGTCCCTGAAATTATGGTCGTTCACACAGCACCTCTTAACATTTAGATGAAAATAATAAAAGCTCGTTTTTTTCCCCTCTGAGTCTATTAATCATTACTTAATAGGAGCAGAAAGCTAAGCATTAAAGACACATTTTACAGCGGATTTTTGTTTCTTTGTTTTCACTACCACCACACATGCCATGCGCTTGCATGAGAACTGCATCCATTGGCTAAATTAAATCTTTCAAACGTAATGCATGCTCATGGCAGTTTGAATCAGTCTATGACAATTCAATTGAAAATACTACACTCAGTAAGAATTTCTACTCCCAGGCTGGCTCCTTCATCAAAACAGACAGCTTTTTTGCATGGGATGTAGGCTATTTATTAAGAACTAAAACCAGCTAGAACCAAGTAGATTTTGCAGAAGTCTGTGGGAGAAAGGGGCGTAAAATCCACAGCAAGGCCCTGGTAAAAGGTTGAGACCATGTTCTGTGCACTGCCCCCCTGCCAAGCTGCCTTCTACTCCTTCGTAAGGCTTTGAGCTAGGAAAAGCCCCATGCAGATGTGGGTCCCTGCATCCATGTAATCTGCCCCTTGAAGCAAGACTGGGTTTATCATTAGCCTGAGCATATCAGACCTTTCTTCTTCTCCTAGGCCAAGCACTTGTATTTCTTCAGTGCTTTGCAATACATGTCTTTTCCTGTCTTACAGAGTGCGTTAAACTCTTTAAACACTTTAAATTGCAGTTATGGTACCCACAACAACAGGTCCAGGTAAGTAGCAACAGCTGGAGAACAGGCAGTATAGCAGGGGAAAGAAATCTTTTCCTTGATGGTAGCAGAATAAATGTTTCCCATGCTTTTAGCAAACCAAACATTCAGACACACCATGGTCCTATGGTCATGTAGCATGCAAAAAGACTTCAAAGCTACGTAGCTAGCTCCACAGGTAATGAGGTTGCAGGCTGTGTCCAGCCTGGGGACATGGGAGAGATGTCTCGGATAGGAACAATGCAGAGACCTGAATCACAAACTCCCAGTCTGACAATTAAGGTGCCCTTATACACTATTAACTTGAAGATGTCTGCAATTTAGATGCTTAACCAAAATTCATAAAGCAGCTGTTCTCTTCCTGATTCTGCCAGTGAATCTTGGCCATATAAATGATCCCTTCTGTATTTCATCTTTTCCAACTGTAAAATGATACCTTTTCTCCTTTGCAGACTTTTAAGATCTGCAGCTGATATCACTAAATAGTCCTACATTTTTATTATTATTACTATTTTTATATTCCGGTAACTGTGAACTATTCCATTAAATTCATCAGAATTACACACTACATATATTGCAGCTCACAAGGTAGAAGTAGTACATGTATGTTAGGAACATCCTATATGGGCATCCTATAAACTTTCACCGTGTTTAAACTATGTACCCTGACATATGACTACAGCTAGGAAATTCGTCTGTCATCCATCCAACCACCTGTGCATCCAGTCTATCCAGTGAACTAAATGCTAGCTGCACTGAAGTTGAAAAATTTGAGGCAATTAATGGTCAAGTCATTAAAACAAGGAACAGGAAATATAGTTAGAAACGTGAATTATTTGTATAATTCTTCCCTTTCTGTTCTGAATGTACCTTTCAAGGCCCATATAACATTTCAAGGCTATAGGAAGGTAGCATATGTTAAGGCACTTCTCCATGCCACCAACAGACTGAAATTAAGAAATACAAACAGTTCCTCTGGAAGAGGATCTCTTAATGGATGGGCAGGAGAGCCTGGGGCTTTTGAGAGGATCCCAGAAGGCAAACCCACTAACATCTGCTTTCAAACCACTTGATGAGAGCAGGAATGAAAGCTTAGTCTTAAAGAATTTGGCAGTGTTAAGCATTAGTATTTTGCATTGAATCTTAACAACCTTTATTTCTCCAAATCTCTTGGATAACAGTAAGGAATAGTGTAAAAAACCTAGAATGAGTGCAAGCAGCCAAGTGTTCCTCTGGCACTGGGTCAAGCAGAGGTGGAAACTGGAATCTGTCCACAGCACACAACATGGCAGGAGACAGAAATTGTTCCATGGCTCTTGCTGCAGTTTGGAAGCTACCATTGCTCCTTGGCTTTTGAGCCACATTAACAGCATTGAAAGATTTTTGATACTGTTTTGATACTAGATGAACTCAAAAAAAGAAAGCATTTTTTGATGTTTGCATTTTTTAAGCATCTAATTTTGAGGAAACCTGTTTTCTTTTGCTCCAGGTAATTTAACTTTGTAAAGGCAAATTGGGAAAATAAATGCTTTAGACAGCACAGTCTGTTCCAGTTCCTGAATTTGTTCTCCACACATCTTTCAGTCAAAACAAATTCTTCCAATGAAATTTCTGACTTTCTGTTTATACACTAGCACCAGTCATCTCATCTTAATAAATAGCTCTAATTCTCACTTAATGGTATTTGCTCTCTTTTGGTGTCCATTTTACATCCAGTCTCCCTTTCTAAATGCTCTCTTCCTTCTAAAGAAGTAGCCACAATGAGACTGCAGGGCCACTACTTCAGTCCAGTACACCTTCAAAGCCAGCCTCATTCAAGTGCATTCTTGATTTAGTTCAAGGCAAAACGTCATGTAAGGTCCATGGGATTTGGTTCTTCTAAACTTTTCAACATTGCGGCGATAATCAGAGCCTCTGGAGGTCTATCCATTCCATTAGACTTCGTCATGATAGCTGAGCTGCAGGTAGAAAAGTGTCAGGGCTTAAAAGGTCATTGTGTCTTGCTTCCCTTCTCATGTCTCTGACCTGGGAAAGACATGACTAAAGGTCCACACAGTGACTCCACACCAGTGGTCAAGAAAGCTCAGTGGCTCAGACTGCTCCACCTATTGATCTCCTCCTCTACTTTGAGGAAAGCATGCCCTTCTGACTACCATGGACTGTTTCAACACGTGTTTCTTGCACAGGGTAGTTTTTCCCAGTTGTATCCTTCCCTGTGGAAGGACAGTCCAAGTCACCAGTGCAGTATAAATTACCTAATTCTGGAGTCGTTCAAAAGTCACACATACAATGTGCCTTTCAGAGGGCTTTGATGCAGAAATTATTGGATGATGTTCTTCAGCCGTTGCTATGCAGGAGGTCAAAGTAGATGATCAGACTGGTCTCTTCAGACATTAAAATAGATAGATCTATGAAAATAGGAGAGCTGAATGTGTATGTCTTAATGTTCCTCTCTAACCTGCTCCTCAAAGCCCCCAGAACTTACTGTTCCAGCCAGCTTTCCACTAACCAGATCAAATGAGTCAAAATAACTGACAGAAATAAGCAAGCTTCCCTTACCAGCTTTCAAGTGTTTATAAAATTCTCCTACACACTTAGGTATCACTAGATGTAGCCAGCAGTTTAAATGGCTTCTGGGAAAAATGGAATATACGGCTGTCGATAAATTAATCACTTTGGAAGACTATGGTTGCAGTAATGACAGGAATTCAGGGGAGGAGGTGGGTGGGAAGAGAAGCGTGTTGCATGGGACAGGCTAAACAATCAGTAAAAAGATTTGCTCAGAATACGGAGTGCCTTTAGAGAAGGTCATTTTCCATCAGCTCTGACACTCCTCAGCTCAGAAATTGACAGTGCTCTGAGGAGCTCATTGAAAAGTGGAAAGCTGAAATACCATGGATGAATGAAAGAACATTTACAGATCTACAGCTTGCTGATATCTCTTTGTTCCATAACAGCAGTGATAAGATGCAGGAAAAAGGGAGATTTTATCAATGGAGAGACTAGACTCATTTATTAAGGGAACAGAGATACCATCTTAGCAGAGGATGCTGCAAGTGAAGCTGATGAAGCAGTGATGGGAGGGAAGGCATAACAAGTACCTGTCAGAGAGAAGCCATGCACAGGGCAGGTACATGGTGTGTAAGAATAACCACACGTCTAGAAAAAAGCTGGGAGAGGATTCAATCCTCCATCTGTCTGAGCCATCTCATCCTCAAGATCTCACCTTCCTTCACAGGCGGATGGCGCTAGGCTGTTCCTTCATGGAAGATCTTCTGGCAAGCCCCGAGAGCATCTCCTGGCCAGTCCTTTGACTGACCCAGATGAAGTCTTGCACCCTCAAACCCCCAGTCTCCCCACATGTAAGGGACTCTTAATGAACTGAGCGGTTATCTGAGAAACAGAAGCCAAGCTCATTCTTGCCCATGGCCTGCAGACCTTCGACTCTGTTTACAACTTTCTGGGAAAAAGGGCACACAAACAGGTTTCTGCAGGCTTGGATAGGAGGAGGTGAAGACACGGTGTCAGCTACTGGCTGAGAGCACAGTCTCACCCTACTGTATACAGGAAAAAGAGCTTTCGGCGAGGAGCGATTTGCTCTGTGTTTACCTCAGCTTTAAGTTGTGCACACTGGCAAAATACTGTGTTATGCAGGAGTTTGTAACTTAGCTCTGTCTGCGGTAATTCTTGAGTCATCACCTGTCCTCAGTACAACACAACATTAACCTTTTGTGTATATTGCTCAGCTCATGCCTCAGGGATGTTATTTTTTGCAGTGGTATCATGATATACAAAACATGCAGAGAGGACAGAAGCCTGTTGTTTAGAGCTCCCCTTGAGGTGCCGAACACTTTGGATCCTCGCTGTCAAACCCAACAGAGCTAGCAGCTGTCTTTCTGTAGAGGACTCGTAGGATCAGCATTACAAGGCTTTTTAAGTGAGCTCCGACTTTCAGTGAAGCAAAGCCTCACCACTCACAGTTGAACTTGAATGTACAAGAAAGATCACCTGTTTATTTGCAAGACTGAGACAAATAGAGTCTATCTCAAGCACACAAACAGATTTGCCTGAAGTGTTTGTGTGTGTGTGTGTGTGTGCGCGTGCACAAATTAGGCAGTATTGCTTGCATACATAATTGAGGAGAGTGTTTATATTTTATCAAGCTGCAACATTGCCAGGTAGGTTTGTCATCATCAGCAAGACAGTCAGGTCTCCACCTGTCTGGTTTAAAATTGAAGAATGTTCTTATCAAGGGCATGTTTGCTTGGGCATCAATTATCCTCACCCCCCTCTGAAGCCTACACAATCCTGGATTGGCTGTGAATGCTTAACAGCAATGGACAAAAAACGAGGAAATCGGGTGGGAGCTGAGGGGCCCTGCAGACATGTGGGCACTCCAGGCCTTCAGAAAAGCTCATGCCAGGGTGTTTTTGCTGTCCAGGCTCTCTTTACTGCATGGGAACTTCCAAATAGCAATTCTAACAGTCAGAAGATACAAAAGGTAGCAAACAGGGTAACAGAGTAGTCTTAAATTCTTCCTTTTTCAGGGTTCAGAAAACTTATTTAAGCCTGCAAAGGGAATGAAAAATCAACCTGTCTCATGTTAGTCTCAAGTCTCTTTGTGGCTTTAGCTCTTAGTAATAAGAACCTCAAGAATAAGATCCTAAAAAAAGCAAAAGGGAATAAAACATTGAGACCTGACCTTTTAAGTGAGGCTTATTCCATTTTAGGTACACTTCCCTGATATTTTTCTACCTCAATATTTCACACATACACATACTCAATGAAGAGCAAAAATAGGCACATATGAGAAGAGAGGAGATGTCTATTTTGACAATGTCGCCTTCGTTACAGTTCCACAGACTGACTTGGGGATATTGATTTTGGTCTATTTATACGTTGTCCTCAAGTGTTCTCAACAAGGTAATTTGCCACGAGACATAAACTGAAGCAAATTAGGTTTCATTTTGAAAGTACCCTTGCTGTCTATAGATTTAACAAGAAAACCTGTGTCATAAAAAGAGCCAAAATGATGGATTTGACTAAACATAGCTATATATTTTAAACTTCATTGGGTCATTATACATATATATGGGTTTCATCTATTTTTTTATGTCCAGAAGACTGCAGCTACAGGATAAGGCCATATGTCAGATTGGTTTAGATCTTACCTCAACTGTTTAAATAGTTAACAGATACATGCTCAGTAGATGGCTAGACTGAGGCTTACGATTCCAAACCTGAGGTCTTTTAAATCAAAGGTTGTAATACAGAGGAACTGTATGTTCTTAATTAAATCTACAGAGAAAAGGATGTGGTTGTAGCTAAAAGACTTTTTTCCCTAATGCTTTTATTTGAGCAGTCCCTGCACTAGTATATAACATGATGTACTCACCTGAGAGTGTTGGTAATATTGCAAGGACATCTCTTGTTGCATTTGAGGCCATATAACCCTTCTGGACACATTCTTTCTTGGCAATGAATCCCTTTAAATCCAGGGTCACACATACAAGCTCCATTGACGTGATAACACTTTGCACCATTTTGGCAGTCACATCTTTGTGTGCACTGAAAGCCGTATGTCCCAATAGGACACTCTTCTTGACACCTGTAATGAAATATGTGAGACGGGATCCAATTAAATACTACAGTCTAGTTTACTTATGACTCTTACATGGGCATGTTTTTGTTAATGAATTAGATATAAAATCATTGCTCATTTATTTAAGTAATATGCCGTGAACTGATATCATTGGGGTGATGTGATATCTTGGGCATGTAAATAGCTGTTAACTGAGAGTGCATTAATCTCTGTCCAATTATATCCCGCAAAATTTGCATTAGTTAACGAAGTGCATTCTTGTTTCCTGGACCTCAGCATTTCCATTCACCAACCATAAGAAACTGATATAGAACAAGATACTTTATATATATATATAAACTTCATATTTTTGTTCTCTTTTCATTACAGAAGGATTGTGTACCTTCTTTAAAAGCATTCAGTTGTCATAGAGGGATAATGAGGTCTGAAAGGAAATGTGGTCTATTAGGCATCAAGTAAAATGTACTCCAGCAATGTATAGTTTTACTTTCCCTCTATGCTGCCATCGCACCTGCTTTATACCAACCAGGAGAAAATATACTCCTTTGTATTTTGTGTGTGCTTTGAGTAACTGCAACTCAAATTTGCATTTCATCTCTTACTCCAGGGATGCTAAGTAGTATAATATCTCCAGACAAATAAGTTTCACATTCTTTAGCGTAGTATCTTCTCCAAAATTGCCAACATTTTTAATATTTGGTACACATAAAAATTGAACCTGCAAACACTATACACAGATTGTTTTAAATTACACCTTCCATGCACTTTTCTACTGTTTCCCTACTGAATACATTATGAAGTCTGCCAAGAAGTCTGTTTCATTGTCCTACAGTTTAAGTGATTATAATATTTCCTATTTTTAAAAGCTCAACAAAAGTCCTAGAAGTACCAACTGATTCTGTGCTTGACATAATTCAGTGGTTTCAAAATTTTGCAGTGAGTCAGTACTACAGTTTACATGATCCACCGTGAAATACAGATACGCTTTTTCAGTTAATAAAGAGAGAAAAAGAAGTCCAGAAAAGCCCAATTCCCTTATCACATGGATGCCAGATATTGGAAATTGCCTATCAGCATTAATTTAATCCTGGGCATTGATTAAAGTGTATACTGTAAACTCAGAGGCAATTGTTAAATGTCTTTCTGCAGGTCATTTCACAGCTGGCAGGTGAGAGTTAATATAACGATCAGTAATAAAAGATTAATGCATGATGCAAGCCAGGCAAAACTGCAATGAACACTGTCAGTATAGAAGAAGAGAATTGCTATTGCAGCTTTAGATTATCACATTTTACTAAAAATAAATGAACAAAGCAAAAGGCCGAGCTAGTGATTTAACTGAAGCAAGCAACAACGCAGTTGCTAGTTACACAATCCAAGTTCAGGAGTTCATACGAGACCCAAAGAGAGGAGCCTGTGACAAACAGGAAGGGAGAGAGCCCAGAGAACCACCAGCAGCACTGGCTGCTAGCCCTGCAGCTCTCAGGGTAGTTCAGCTGCAAGGGAAACAACCAGCAAAGAACGAGGAACATTAGGGCTGAACCACTTGAAGCAAATGAAATGCAATGAAGAACATATTAAGATGCCTTCTGTCTCCACTGCCGTACACAGCTCGACTAGTTAGCAGGAGAGCACTGTACTCAACGAGATGAATACTTAGTCAATAGTGCACTATATCATTCTATATTTATCAAAGATGAAGCATTACCTAGCAGGGAGAAAAGCATCTGGAAATGAAATATTGACGACCTAATCCATTTACATAATTAGCCTTTTTCTACTAACAATTTAACCAACTTATTTATTTGGAGATCAAGCAGCTACTGCTAATGAATTTTATACAAAGAATACTAATAACGACTCCTCTGGAACATAAGAATAATCACAGCAGGAATTAGCTTTCTACTTAAACATCTTTCCTTTGCAACATATCAATCTAATGTGTCCATAGCACCATTAACAACCAGATACATTGTTCAATTAAATTACAAAATGAGCTGCTAAACCCTAGTTATGTTTCTTGTTTAATTTACATTGCTTTCTGCCTATCTGGGGAGATTCGTATTACAATATCCACTGTACTTTAATATGTACTATAATTATTTGGGTTGGGACAGGATAATATGGCTGTCACCTGTAGAATTAATGGAAGCAATTTCACAAAATATTAAACATAAGACAGCCTGCTTAACTGATGAACTCGGTACACACACCTACAATTTTTGTGGACTTTATTTTTAATGGAATAATGCTGTAAAATATTTTGGGCTTTTTCCTTTGTTTGTTTATTTTCACAACAGTGATCACATTTATGTCGCACAGACAAATATTGAAAGCCATCCAAAAAACACTAGTCTGCAAATCGCCTTTCTGTTGATAGAAGTTACAAACACAACAACGAAAGACTAAGTCTGCTCACACTGTTACAACAAATGTGGCATTTATTCTGCTCAGACTTAGTCTTTACGTTTAATGGCAATATGTAAAACAAAGCTAAAACAGTATGTTCGCTTTTCCAGTCAGCCATAGAATTCCCCATTCCCAGCTTCTAACTGTGCTTCTGCTATTATTCCTTTCCAGTTTGCAAAACACACATTTGCATGACATATCCAGTCATTGCAGCACAGCACAGAGCTGCCTGCAGTTATTAATAGTGCTTGCCAATTTACTAGATATTTAGTGTGTTGCCTCTTCCTGGAAAACAGGTAGGGAACAAAGTGTGACAATTACACTTACACAGACCTTTATGACCATTTCATCTCCACAAAAAATTATCTAACTACATGTTATTATCTTCTGCACGAGACAATGGGTGGTGGATTTATACAGTACTTATCGACAATTAAAAAGGATAATAGTAGATAAAGCACGTTTACTATTTTATTGCTGTTATTCACAAAATCTGTTATTACGAAGAATATTTTTTCATCGCCTTGTACAATTTCAAAGAAATCATTATTTTGTTGTGTAGCAGCTTTCTCCTGCTACACTTGCAATTATATTGCAGCATGGCAACAGCTACAAGATCCAGAAAGTAAAATAGACCCTAAACTAACACAGAGCTGACTAATCCACTCCATTGTCCATGCTCTACAAACACACAACTAAGGAAAGCAATTTAGACTTTTTTAAGACCTTGTGCCTGCTCCTGCCATCAGTGAAATCAATGGGCAATCTCCCTGCAGCTAGCTGTAGCTGACAGCAAGGTGAGGGTACACGCGGCTCTTCAGAGCAAAGCGTTGCAGGTTTGTGTCGTCCCAGCCCAAGTGAAAGGCTCCAACTAAATGTGATGAGCCCAAGGCTTCACTTCCGTTACTAAAGGCTGATAAAGTAGCATTTTTTAACATTCTGAGAGCCCACTTGGAAGGTGGTAATGTCTAGGCTAATCTAAGTTTTCCCTGCTGCTTTCAGAACTAACTTTCTCCTAACTTTCTCCTGTACTCATTTATCTTTTCATGTACCCGCATTTCTGCTCCTCAGCCTTGCCCTTCAGTATCTATCTTTTACCTCCCTGCTCCAGGAGAGGGCAGGTGATCCATTCCTAAGGGTTTTTCTTGGGTACAGGTTCACTGTGAGACCTTCCTTCAGTTTCTTGTCGACATTTTCCAGCCATTTGTGCCTTATTTTGTCCCTCCCTGCTTCTCTTTGTCATCCCAAGCCACATCTCTCTTCAGAGTCCAAATCTCTCTCACCTTTCTCCAAGGACAGATCTGAAGAGCCCACACTCCCTTTGCTCAAGGACAGTTCTTGTGAAGTCTGCCCTGTAGTGCCTTCTCTGTTGTCTCTCCCTGAGCCTGTTTCTCCAGACCCTTTCTAAAGTGGATAAAGTGGCAAAAACCTCTGCTTTCGATAGGACACAGAACTGGGTATTCTGCTACCTACTTGCCTTCTCTTTTCTGGGTCCATCAATACTCCCTGGTCCCCAGCTTCTCTGCTCTTACTGCTGGAGTGCACCTAAGTGTTGCAGACAGTACAACAGCCTGCAATTGTTTTTTTCCTTGTGCCATGCTCCTGTAGCAGAGCCAGCTCTTCTGCTGCATGTCCTCCCTCGCGGCTGGAGGCTATCTTGGCAGCTGAGCAAAGAAGCTGGCTCAGCTGCAGGCTGCTGGCTGGAAGCTCCTGACAACTCTAACGCTGCTGATTCACCTATGGCCAGAAATCGATCTGGGTCTGCAACAACCAGACAAGGAGACCTACAGCCAGAGGGCCAGGACTGAGGGCAGCTTGTGATTGAAGTGCGGTCACTACTGTAGGTGTCCAGGCTGCACAGATGCTTCTTTTAGAGGAATTGTCTCCAAAAGGTGAGAAAAAGAAAACTTTGGTTAGAGATAGTGATTATGCAGTGCTGTTGCAGTGTATCTCAGGGATCCTAAAATCACTGCCTCCAGATGGAGGATGGTGGAAAAGAGACACACTGATATTTCCTCCCCTAAATTAATTTGAAATAAGAAGTATTTCCACCATTTTTAACCATATGCAAATTCTGTCATAATCTCCAGAGCCCCTTGCCAATTACCCCTGTCAATGAAATGTAAACAAGGAGCACCCACATTTAACGGGACAGAACACGGCCTTTGGAACACCAGAGCAGTGTCGAAGGCTGGTCTGTTTGTGTGCTATAAAGACCTGCTGATTATACAATGATGAAAGAAATGAGAAATTCCAGTGAGCTTTGCTGCATAAAAATGTAATTTTAGTGTATGTTGACATACCAGTACTAGCTTGTTCTAGCTAATAAAAGAAGGAAAGGTATAGGAGAAAGGGCTTTAGCACAGGATATGCTAGTGAGTTGTGCCCATGGTCTCTGGAAAGTCTGGTGATACAGTCCAATCTCTAGTGAAGACTGCTAATGAAAGCTTCTTCATCTGCAGCTTCCTCACCATCGTTAGCCTTGCTGGCAGGATTAGCTGGAGGACTAAGCCAGCATGCGTTACAATCCCACCTCGACTTTTCTCTGTAGTCATTTTGCTAAGTCCATGACACCTTTGTAAAGCAACATTATCATCTTCTTAGATTGATTTATGGGTGAAGCCTTTCGTTTATGAATTTTGAGGATTTATCACCCTTTGTTGGTGTCTGAGATGGATCAGTGCTGCAGCAGCACAGAGGGGATGAGGGAAACATTAAACTGCTGCATTGCTTACTCTTGAGGATATTAATTTGTATAAATATAGTTCATTTACATATCTTGTAAACATGTAATGCTCTCTATTAAATTTATCACTGTAAATATCCAAATTAAATTTAATCCATTAAATTTTAAAAGTTGTATTAAAAAAACTGTAAATGGAGAGCATTGCCAATAAAAAGTAATAACATTGCCACATTTATAATGTTTGAACTGCTTTAGAAAGATGAACCTAATTGCAGCAAGAGGAGCATAACACCGCTTTTCTGAGAGTAAGATTGTCCTAGAAGGGATATAAATATTGCCAACTGATGGTTAAAAGCAAAGGCTTTGCAGTTTTGATTTTTACCTGTCTCCCACATATCCAGGAGTGCAGATGCATTTTCCTGTCACAGGATCACAGTGTCCTCCGTTGTGGCATGGGCAGTCCTGGCTGCAGTTAATTCCAAATGTTCCAGAAGGACACGGCTGTGCACACACCAGCCCCTAGTAAGGTTGCAGAGAGAGCAATAGTTCAGGCAACGGTCATAACGCAATGAATTCATACCCACTTCTTTCCTTCTACCCTCATCTCTTCAGTCATCACAGAGTGGCACATGCCAGTGCTTTTGGCAAGCTGTGGAAGAGGCAGGGTGGGAAGAAGAGACTGGGACTGTTGCTGAAAGACTCCAGTGATGACAGAGAAACAACTGGACACTGCACACTACCAGTGCAGCAGCCTTTTGGCCAGAAGAAGTAGTTTTGCAGTAGAAAATCTGTCAACACTGGCTGGATGCATCATCCAACATCCCTCAGCTATTTATCCTCAACCTTGGTGCCATATTTCACTCCTTGACCTACCTCAATTCCACAACTCAGTGGCTACCATCTTCCTCCATTTCATGCTCTCAGCCCTCTGCTCTCCTCCCTCTTTATTCCTGTCCACACAAAATCTGGGTTGCACACTCCCTTTCAGCCTTCTCTCGTCCTGACCCACCAAATCCCCATCTCTGAGCTGTTTCCTGCTTTCCCTCCCCACGTAATCATCCCTGAGAGTGAGGAACAGACAGTTGGTCATTCTTCGTTGTGCACCCTGGCACTGCTCAGCAGGAAAAGCAATTGCTGGGCAAGCCTTGCTTCAGCTCTTCATCCCCAGGGCAGAGAATGCTTCCCATGGGCAGTTTCTTTGGAGAATCACCTGCCAAATTCAGGTGGTTTTCCTCCAGGTGTCATATAATGCTCCCTGCCAAGTGTCAGGGCCTCACAAGGATTTCCCTAGACTTTCTTAGAAGTTGTATAAATGGGTTTTTATGTGAGCAAACATAAAATCCGAGGCTGGCATCCAGCTGAATAATTTCAGCCAAAACCATTCTGGCAGTGCATGATCTGAAGATGGGGTCCTACACTGGAAAACGTTTGGCAACGGTTGCAAGTGAAGCTGCTGCCAGTGCCATGCACAGCGCAATGTGTTGGACAGAAATGTGCTTTTTGATTGTCCCTGTTACTCTGTTTCAATCTCCCAGAAGTCTTATTTCCCTGACTAAGACCTGGGGCAAGGTGTTTTGAATAAAAAAAACATATATTAGACAAAAGCTATACAAAACACAACACAGGAGCATTAACATAAAAGCATTAAGCTTTCACTCATTGGGGTTCCCTTCTCCAGAGTTTGGGAAGTTCAGCAGGATCCACAACCCCAAAGTGGAGAGGCTGCTCTTCAACGTAACCATAAAATAGATGCTTCAAGTCTTTCCCAGCCAGTGATAGGTGGCTCCTTGGCTGTAAAATAGACAGCTTGGCCTTGGTTCAAGAACATTCAGATTACAGCGTTAAAAAAATGGTGTCTCCGGGCTTAAGTAATACACAGTGCTATATATCTGAAAATGTAAGCACCCATTTATCTTGATAATAAATACTTTCTCTCCTCATGTCTCAAAAAGAACAGGATTTCTATCAACAAATGATGAGAAAGCAATACTCTGTGATGCATCCCCTCGGAGCCCAGAGAATCTTCAGGCAAACTTTTTGCATTAATATGTACTAAGGGAATCCAAAACATCCTTCTCTGGAGGATCAAATGTCAGACCACCGTTTCCTGCTGCTTACACATCTAATCCGCAAAGTTCACCCCATCAGCAGCTTTTTTAAGGCTCTGATACCACCAGCTTCTGCTTTTAACATTGTTTGCTGTATTATTACAATTTTGCAGCACAGAAAAGATTTTTTTTTCTGCTCTACTGTCTTCTCCTCATCCTCCCGCCCCATTTTTAAAACCCAAGACAGAAAGAAAAATAGACTCAGCTACAAACTTCATCAAGTGCGGAGGTTTCAGGGAATGAGAAAGAAGTGATTAGCACATTAGGATGTGTTGTATTAACATGGCACCATGATGCAGAGCCTCGAGAATGGAATCTGGCGTCAAACGGGGTGTGTTGCTAGCGACAAACGTTCTGTCATGCGAGGAAAGATTGCTGCTTTCCTGAGCATGGAAATCTAGTCCTTCAGAAGTGTTTCTGAGAAGCGCTGTAAGAGCTGAATTTAACTTCCCTCCCCACTTCCCGAGAGTGCTTGGAGGATTTAATGCTGCAAATGAGAGAGATGTATAGAATTAAAGCTGTAAATTGTTGATGAGGCCCTAAAGCAGCCACCCACTAACTCCCACACCCACAAAGACGCAGAAGTGGAAAAAGCCCATCACTGCAGAATGCTGGAAGCCCCATTTTGTTGACTCTTTCAACAGAATGCGCTGTTAGCCACCGTCCTCTTGGTAAAAAAAACATGAGACAATAAATTCCCTCAGGCCACAGTTTGTACAACTTTTTATGCTTCTGGAGAGTCTGCATGGGTTGGGAGGAAGCAGGAGGAAAGGAATATTGTAAGTAATAAAATAACCAGGCTCTGAAGATGGCAGATCCAAGGAAGAACCTAAGAACCCTCGGACTTCCTTCTATTCAACTTCTTGCCTCCTCTTCCGTATCCCAGAGACAACCAAGCCCCCGAGGGAACTGAGCTGCTGTTAATAAGTCTACCCTAGGAAGGGATAAAAGTCACAGCTCACCCAGCAGCAATAAAATCCAAGTGGATTTGCACTCGCATAAATCCAGGGAGAATTCTCTACTTCCAACATGATGGTATATTCAACATGTACGTGCAGTCTCAAGCCTTAAAATCAGCAAGTAAAATTCCTGGTGTCAAAAAAGGACTATCTAGGGTGTGAAATAAAATGAATGCTGTCTAGCAATCATCTCTCTCTCGCTCATTTACAGCCCACTTGTGTCTCACTTCAGCAAACCATTCCATCCACCAAGAGTTAAAACTATAGCATGAAAAAAATATTTTTTCTCTCCCTGTGTACTGAATTACCAGCTTTTCATTAAAACCCTGGAGAGACCCTTTATACTTAAAATCTCAACATTTACAAGCTGAGTGCTTTTACTTATAATTTCAGTTTCTTCCACCAGAATACTTGATTTCTCTCTTCAATTTTCAGTTAAGCTTGTTTCAAACATCAATTGTTAACTCTAGGGTTTCTCTGGGGACAGAGCAGCCAACAACACAGTTTTCAGGAAAGTCTCTCTGGGCCACTAAAAATGCAAAGAAAAGACTCCAAGCTGTAAGGAACAGGGTAGAAGTGGGCCAGAATACAGCTGCTGTGCAGCTCCGGTGCTGTGGCTCTTCTATAGGGTCTATGCTGCATCCTAAAAGACCTCTAAAAATTTCCTGCTCTATTCTTAAATCTCTTCAGTGACTTTGTAACTTTGGGAAAAAAAAGAAAAAAAGAAAAAAAAGAGAGAACTCCAGATGATAAAATACAAGTAAGGAAGAGCAAAATAGCTCATATCCTCAGAAATGTTGGCACGCATAAGATTAGGGGAGCTGATTTAAATCACTTTACTACTTGGTCCTTAGGTTAATTGCCAGAATAGACTGACAGGCCCCGCAAAATATTGGAATGCTTCCTTTATGCATTAGAAAGTATTCTCTAGGAAGGAACCTTTTCTTCCTCTCCACTGCATGCCAGTTCAGGGCAAGGTGTCATTGTCTTATTTAGTTTCTGAAAAGTTTCAGCTACTTTGTCATTTGAAATGCAGTATTACCATCATCCCCTTGGCCATCATTGTTAGGCGGAGAGAGATTCTCAGTACATGGCTGCCACCAAAAAGTTTGCACAGCGATGTTCTCTCTTGTGTTGCTGCCTGATAGCCACCTGAGTCTCATGGTTGGCATGTTTTACCTAAAAGCAGGTGAGTGATCAAACATTCTTGAGAACCCAAATGAAGGCAGCATTTGCTGCACCAATCCAAAGGAACATAAACATCTCGCTCAGTCCCCAAATGTTTTAATGGGTATAAGGGCCATATCAGAAGTCAGAGTTATACGATGACATCAGGGTCTTCCTTGTATTAAAATAGAAAATCACAGTACTTGCATGCATTAATATCCAGCAAGTTTGCCAAGAGACTAATTGTCAGATATGGGAAAAATGCCAGGAAACTTAGGTCAGCTAAATGGTATGTAGGCCTGTGAGACTTGGCAAGCCCCGAGAGAGTTAATTATCACATTATTGATAAAGTTAAGGACTTTTAAAATGTTTGGCCTTGCTTTCTTGACACAGAGGATTAAAGGTTAGGGTAATTTGCTCTCTGTAGGGTGACCCCTGATGCAAGCAAATCTATTGCAATCAATGGGAATTATGCCTGAGTAAGGACGGGGCACTGAACTGGTCTCTGTCTCCCTGCGTATATTCCTTTTGCTTTAACGACTGCCGGAGCCACTGAATTCCCCTTGACTTCTCCCTCTCCTCGTTTCCTGAAAGGGAACCAGTGCAGTGTTTCTGACAGTGCCGAGCTGGGCTTTGAGCTTTCTATCTCGTGTGAGGGCAGTGTCTAATGGTGCAGGGAATATTCCAAAGAACTGTAATTTGGAGAGCATTTTTTCTTCTCCTCCCACAGAGAAGTGCAATGAGAAGTTGTTGCATTTTTACTATTGTTTGTTTAACTCTACGATGGTAGCTTCCAGCCAGAGACTAGTGGCCTAAGTGCTGTGCACATACAACAAAGGCAGTCCCACTTTCAGAACCGTTAGAGGTCATGACAAGAAATAGAAGATACACACCACAAGCACACAGGGAAGGTGTCTGCCGAGACAGTGAGGAGTTAACTTCCCATGCCAAGCTCTAAATGATGAATGAGCATGAATAACCTACGTACCATCCATCCAGGAGGACAGGAGCACTCTCCAGTGATGTGGTGACAGACTCCCCCATTCTGGCAAGGGCAGCGCAATTCACACTGAGCTCCGTGACTGCCTGGGGGACAGCGCTCTTCGCAACTGCACGGAGGGAGAAGAAACAAAAACCAGAGAGGTCATTTAAAAGAACTTACAGGAAATAGCAAATGAGGAAAATCCACAACACAGGCCACCAATTGAGTCTTTATGCAAATTATGAAACCTCAGTAAGCCTTGGCTGGCGTTACCAATTAGCCAAGATTTCTTTTATTTCTGCTGGGGTTATTTATGTGCCACAGATCCAGTACTCCAAGGCTGACGCATGGATGCAGTCTGTATGTAGGCACCGCATGCCACCAATCTCAAAGGACAACTCACATCCCTGAAAAGTGTCTAGGTAAGTAAGTGCTGCTAGATGAAGCCCCAGTGTGAATTATGTGACAGAGCAACAACAGAAGCTGCAAATATAATAAGAGGATGGAATTAAATTGTTTGAAATTTCTTTAGCCACTACAAAATGCTATCATTTGCAATGTATAACAGGCTGGCAAGATCTCATCATCATTTAAAGGCTATTTAAGCTCATTGGGTCTCTCTGAGTGTTCATGGGGGGACGATATAAGTCTTGTCCCTGCAAAACACAGCATCTCCTAGGCCTTTACACATTGGTGCTTTTCAGCCTTTGCTTCTTTCTCTCATTCCAGGTTCTGAAATCACAGCAGTTCTTTTCCATAACTGATTGTCCTTTGATGAGGATGTTCATACAATGTATTGCTGCATGTACACACTGCTGAGAGCAGGCGTAGTAATGTCAATAGGACCACTCCTGATAGTAAGCAGAAGCTTTAGCAGTGAGTGCTTTCAGGACTGAGGTCATAAGGCTAGGAGGAAATCAGGTACTAAATAAAATATTCAAAAGGTGTATCACTTATTTATGAGGGTTAATATTATCTTTATTTTTACCTTCTCCTTCATGCAGGCCAACAAACAATACTAGATTGCAGAAGTATTAAGTCACCTGTAATAGATCTCTGAGCAAATTCAGTGACTAAACTCTCCTTTCCCCTTAAATAATTTTGAAAAACATAATTACTTCTGAAGCTACTGAAAGATCTCTAATGAGTACTGATGTTACACTGTGGGCAATTTTAAACAAGGAACTATTGCTTGCTGTCCTAAAATTAATATGCAGAATTTGTGAATCCTACTGGTAAACCTTCGGTGTGGTATATGGGGATTTAGCTACATGATTCTCGTTAAAGTTAATAGGAGTCACACCACTAAATCCCTCCTCACTATGCTAAAAATTTACCCCCTAGATAGTAAGCTGATATAGTTAACAGTAATGCTTCCTCAGTTAGATTGAAACTCAAATAAATCGGAGATGGTAAGTCCCATTTGATACTGAACTGGATAGCTAATGTGTAAAATGTCCATTTGCTTATAAAAACTGGACTGTAATTTGGATTGTGCTCACATACCGAAATTAGGAACAGCTACAGTTGTACAAGCTGCAAAATGTCATGGATTTTTAAATTCACTTTAGCAGTAAATTTTATTTTGGTATGCAGACAGGTATAATTAGCAGCAAAAAAAGGAGATTTCCTTTATTTAGCCTCTCTGAAATTCTGTTACCTGATTTCTACAAAGGAAAGTGCATAATACGTAGATTGTTTAAGTTCTGCCAATTACTCACTGCATTAAAAGCAGTCAAAGCAAGGCAGTTAAATGATGCAGAGTAAAAGACACCTCTCATCCAACTTACAACACCCCCGTGTATCCGGGAGCGCAGTGACATTCTCCCGTCTCGTGGTCGCAGGTAGCTCCGTTGTGGCATTGGCACTGGAACTGGCAGCCCTTGCCATAGCTCCCGGGGTCGCAGAGCTCTTCGCAGCGCCAGCCCTGGTACCCATCTGCGCAGACACAGGCGCCCGTGATGGGGTTGCAGAGGGCCTCGTTCTGGCACTGGCAGCGGTTGCTGCAGTGGGGTCCCCAGTGATCGCTGTCGCAACCTGTAAAACACATGGGCAGTTACCAAGATGATCGGGTACGTGCGTTGCAAGCCTCTCATACCAGCCTCTTCTGCTTGGGTTGGCAAGCAGACAAAGAGACACTGCTAATAGCAGAAACTTTCTAAAGGGCCCTCAGACTTTTTAAAACTCCCCCTGAGCCAGCAGTGTACTTCAGCACGCAAGGAGACAAGAGCATCAGTTATACACCTAAATACGAGGACTTGTTTAACATCCTTATTGGATCAGGACCTAAATCTTTTAATATCCTGTTTCTTAGTGCTCTTAGATAGCTGGAAGGAATGAATTTATAGTGGAATTAGACACAGAGGATCACATCCTGACTGCAGTGTAGTTAATGACTGGTAGAATTGCCAAGCAAGTCCTGTAGATTTAATAATGTTATCAAATATTGTTTCTTTGCACTGTTCCCTTAAGATAATAAATATGATAATCTAAAGAAGACTTTCTCCTTTGGTGGGGTTTTTATTATTTAATTATTTATTTTTCTGGACTAAAAAGATGACAAGGCAGAAAAGAAGTTGAGATTTCTCGAGGCTTCTTAGCCCAGGCTTAGGAATGAAGGTATGGAGTGTGAACATCAGGTCATTTCTGTGCCACTAGCAATGTGTGCTAGCATTATAGAAGGGCACCAAAGCCCATGGCCATTGACACAGAGAGCAGATTCTCTACAAAAGGCATTTATGCACAGTGAGAACCCTTCACATGACAATCCTGCCTGATCTCTCCTTGTTTATGGACCATATGCAGGATGAGAGAGGGAAGTCAGCAGTACAGAAGCAGCTTGAACATGATTTGCTATAGAAACAGTAATCAGCACCTGCAAAACACCCGTTTAATATTTATGCATACAAACCAGATAGCTTAGAGAAAACATCCAGGGGTTAAGATTTCCTCAGTAAATGGTCAGCAGAAAACCAAAGTTTTCTTTAGGAGTCCTACCCTCCTCTTCCCAACCTGTTAACGTAGCTGTGCCTGCTGCTCAGAATAGAGCTGCTGGCAAAATCTCTGCTAAAGACACAGTTACAGATCATGTTCCAAGTACAGCTGGTTGTGCTCAGAGAGCTGATTTCAATTATATCAGCAAAAACTCTTCTGCCAGTGTAAAATCCACTGACATGCAGGAAATGAGGGTGTAATCCCAGCGACATCGCTGTCTTCACGAACTCTTTTATTTGCAAACATGTAAACTAATCCCCAGGTGACACTCGCTGCTTCTCAGGGCTGGATCTCTGTTTCCAGACTGCGCAAGGCAAATGTAAACACCATATAAGCCAGAAGCTCCTGTCCTACACATTTCATAGCCCTTGACTGCTACAGTATTTGGCTATAAACCTACAATGGACACCTACATTTCTCAGTTAATTTTGGCAAGCTTTTTGTCCTTCACCTTCTTGAGAAGTTGGATACCCACTGGTCAGTCTGGGGATATTCAGCAGGAAAAGAGATGCATGAGGCTTTCTTCAATTAGCACTGCTGATCATCAATTTACAAACTTGTGTGAGCACCAGTGTCAAAGGCCGAAATAAACCTGAGAGAAGAGAACTCCAGGGTCTCCAAGAGGATGATCTGCAGGGGCTGGCAGCAATGCGTGGACAGACACAGCTTCAGGTCCCGCAGAGTGTGCAACATGCTGCTGTGCATAATCCTGCTTGTGCCTCACACAAGACAGTTTATTGCTTTGCCTCATTTCTCCCACTGCTGTAAGCAGGGATGATAGTTCCTCACTAACACCACTGGGAGCCAAGCAAACGAAATCTTACTCTTTATAAGTCTTAAATTATTACTGAGAATCTGGGGAAAGAGACGATCTATCTTTATTTCACGTAGACACTTGGTAAGACTCCGCAAGCCCTCTGGGGCAGGGAGCAAATCTGCTGGAGCTGCTGGGGTTTCCCAGCAATTTCCATTCCAGAAATACTGATTTGTTTTCTGCAGAACTTGAAAAATAAGAGATGCAGTTCTGCACCTCCACAAAGGGCAAAAGTCTGAAGCACACAAGCAGAGCCAGTAGCCTTTGGCACGGGGAATGCAAGAATCAAACCTGACCCTACCTGACGCAGGAACTTGCTTCCTACCTTACCCCACCTGGTATTGGTGCCCTGACTGCCAGACTGCTGGGTGCTCGGCGCTGATGCAACTCCAGCTGCAATTAATTGCCTAATAGAAATAACACTGTTAGAAGATATGACTTACACCTTCGTCTTCCACATTGCAGATGAGTGCTCCAACCATCAGATTTGTCTGCTTGGTTTGTGCTTTTCACTTTGGAAGAAAGTGAAGGAGAAAGCAAACCTTTTATAGGATGGGAAAACCATTTCCCAACATCAGCTCAAGCTACTTGGTTCACTTTTACAGTGTCTGCCCCAAGCACAGCTCCATTTATGTAAGTCTAATCTTATTCAAACACATACTTACTATTTATACTTTGTCACATTTGCTTTCTCCCTGTACCGAATTTCACTCCATGATCTAGACAAAAGGAAGAACAAAATGCTCCAGGAAAGAGCAGAAATTCCTCTAATTGGTTGTAAAATCATTAAAAAATATATATAATTTGGATAATAAAAGAAGCCTGCAGTGACCAGAAAACCAGCTGACAGACAGATTTTCCAAAGGCACAAGGCATCAGCAAGCACACATTGCAACATTCAGTACGTTTAGCCCAAAGTAGCTAGCCAACATGTTTTAATTATCTGTGAAATAAAACAGCTTGGCATACCAGATAGCTACTAAGAATGTGAATTTCATGGGGATTTATTAGTGAGAGGACATAAAATGAGAATTAAAGTACATCTGAGTGCTTATGGAAGACAGAAAACACAGAACTAGAACCAAGATGGGGCTTGTACCATGTCTCATTTGCAATGCCTGATACAGCCCTCGCAGTTGTTGGACTCCTTTTTATGTCCTTAAAACTAGGTTTTCACTATAGTTCTCTAAACAGTTCAAAACCAGAGCCATAGCATGTGTGTATAACCAAGGCAAACAGCCCATTTTCTCTCTATTGATGGGATCATGTGTACACAAAACGATGAGGTGGCCCCCTCTAGATTTAAGTCTTAGCTCAGATGCCAAAGATTTTCTGCTTTAGCTCTCAGTTCAAGCCCTGTACAGGTCACAATGAGCAGGGCTATCTCATGCAGTAGCAATACATCCACTGCTGATTAATTGCAAAGGGAAATGAGTGAGATTAGGGGCCTTTTGCTAGTGTAAAATTTGTGATCATGAAATATCATGCTCACTTGATTTTACACTGCTGTAATCTAACATGAAAATAAGATCCTTGTTGCTCAAAGTTTACCAACATTTTTCTTTTTAAATTTTCTTTCTTTAAAGCCCCATTTTGCAGTGGCAGACTGGAGCTGCAAGTAAATTCTTTACCTATGTGATTTCACTGGGACGTTATGTGATATTTATACTGTGATAACACAGAGATCTGCACTGTGGCAGCCTCTGTACCTTTACAAAGACAGAGAGCTGATAAACTAAATCCCAGTACTTATTCATATGAGTAGTTCCACGGAGCTTAATGGGACCACTCATGTGTGAGACTACTCAATTGCATAACTAGCCATGGGGTTGAGGTCTAGTAGTTCCAGCTAAAACAATAAAAAACAAACAAACAAACAATCAAACAAAAAAGAAACAGAAGAAACAAAAGACTTTAGTAGCTGGGACATATTTTTTTCTCTATATGTCAGTACGGTAAGTCCTAGCTGGTGTGTGATGGCAGTTTCAGTATCGAGATACTCAGCAAAGTAGCCTCAATGCCATGGCAGCCTGCAGCACTTGAGGATCATCAGCACCACCTCTCCTGTGAGCACAGAGACCATTTTAAAATACGGTCCAAGCCCTAGCACAGACTAATCCTACTCTTGTTGATAGCCTCTATGTGTTACCATAATAGAGATAAATAATAATAGCAACAATATGTGAACAGAAAGCTGATTAAAGCTTACACAAGAGCTACACTGTAAATGCATATGCCATTAAAAATGTCAAAATGATACAGAGACTTTAACTATACCATCAATAAGAGAAGCAACCTGAGAGTGGTGATGTCAGGAAGGTACAAATGCTCCCTTTAGACTCCATGTGTGTTTGTCAATACCATGAGAGATGAGCCTGAAATAGCTAGCGCTCTCCTGGGAGATGCTGCATTAAAGGGAGCTGCCATATTTCAGGTCACATGCTACCATTCCCTGGCAAACCTGCCAACTTACTCACTTTTTCTCCTTCGAAAATATGACTAGAGATTAATTGCCACCAATAAAAATGAATATAACTCTGTAAAGGATGATGCTGGGTGCCTAAGCATAATTACAGTTGTCTGCATATGGTAGCTCATGACAGGTGAAAGATTCATCCCTGCGTGGAAAGGTTGCTCAACACAGCACAAAGTGTTTTCTTCCTCTCTGCATCTCTCCCTCCACCCCGGAGCCTCAGTGGCATGTTGAAATGAGGGCTAATTGCAGCAGGCTCTGCATATCCGCCTCTATAGCCGTGTATGACATCCTGCCACCAGTTCTGTCCTGTTAAAAGTACAACGAGGACACGTTGAAGGGCTGCTTCCTTCCCCGGTGGCTGTATTCCCCTCTAGGAATGATTACTGAATTGTTCTGTTTTGGGTTAAGAGAGAGAACCAGTATTTAGGGCAGTGGTGCAAGCTGGACTGTAGACAACGCAAACACACAAGTTTGAAAGGTTAGCAGATGAAAGAAAGGCCTTCCAAGGAAGAGCTGCCATTTATCAAGGGACTTAACCCAACAAGAGAGTCAGCAGTGCTCTTCCAGTGCTTTTCTATCACAGCACAGGTACACTACTAACACAAAACCAGCATCTTGTATCACAGCAGCACCAGCAGCAGTGATCTTCAGGTCTCCGCTTATTTTGCTCTCATTAGCACAAGCCTGCGTGTGTCTATGTTTATAGCTGGTGACCAGCCCTGTACTCAAGGTGTGCACAGTCAGAGGGACATT